CGGCACTTTTAGGTTGCACTCGGTTCCGAACGACAGCCTACCATCCACAAGCAAATGGCATGGTAGAGCGTTTCCATCGACAGCTGAAAGCTTCCCTTTCAGCTACAAACATACCTCAGTGGACCGAGGCTCTGCCTCTAGTCCTACTAGGTATTCGTAACGCGTTGAAAGTTGATGCTGGATGCACTCCTGCAGAACTCGTCTATGGGACCACTCTTCGCCTACCAGGTGAGTTTGTTTCCCCTTCAACTTTCAAACATGTTTCCGACAGGGCATCTTACGTGACTAGGCTTACAAACGCAATGCGTTCAGTTAGGCCTTCTCCGATTAGACCGCAAACGACTGATGTTTTCGTTCACCCCAGTTTAAAAAAAAACACGTGTTTATTCGCCACGACGCCGTTCGTCGACCACTTGAACCACCCTACGACGGGCCATTCAAAGTGATTAAGCGACACGAGAAATTCTACATAATTGAGCGGGACGGACGTGAAGATACTGTCAGTATCGACCGTTTGAAACCAGCTTATTTCGAAGGCAACCCCATTATAAGTGACGTTTCAGCTCGCTACAGCCAACCGACGGACAGCTCAATTATCGAAATTCTTGACGATGTGCCTGGTAATGCACAGCTGCAACAACCATCGGCGCAACAGAAAACACGATCAGGTCAAACCGCCAGGTTCCCGGAGTATTTAAAGTCGTATTCAACTTAGTGAAGTGAGATAAGATGTGCCAACCATATTTATTTTTACCGCAAAATTTTTTTCCAGGCACTGTTTCTCTTATTTACCGGCAGTGCATACATATCGTCTTTTTATGTCCGCTTTTGTCGCCATGTAATGAAATGCTTTTAAGATAACGGTGAAAATAAGCGCAAACTTTATTTTCGACGTATTTTAATGTGTATAATTCCCATTTTTACGAAACGTTTTCGTGGTGTTATAGACTTTCATTTATATTCCAGGTGCAACGAGCACTGGACGAAACGTCAGGAGAAACTGAGGACTGATATCGACGTACAGTTCGATTTATTGTATTTTATTTTTTAATTGCCACGACACCCTAGAATAAGTTCAGACAACCAGGGGCCACTTCATGCAGTGAACCCATCGGAAGAGTTTCACCAGTGGAGAAACCACTGGATTTTTACCTCCAGCTGGTATCGTCTTAGGGTCCTCACGAACCCACTGGGGGGGGGAGTGATCTGTAACGTCACACACTTCCCCAAAATCAATAGTCTAGGGTTCGACGGCATTCAACCTTGATGCTGACCTTGGTAGTTTAACTGGACCCTCTAAGCTGAAGGCACCCGGTCAAGCAGCCTGGACATTTGGCACTCTGTCGTGTTACATTGCACTGTTCGTATTCGACTATCTAGCCAGTTGGTTGGAACGTATCGGTATCTTGGCACAACCATCCAAATATACTATTCTATCCGACTGCGCCACCGTGCTCTTCCTTAGTCTCGTACTCGTGAGTATATAGCAAGTCCGAATGATTAGTGATTGGTCTTTGCGTCTGTCAAGTTCGCACCAGGACAAATCCCAAAGTGGCAACAAATCCGCACAATATTCTACATGATTTACCCGTCTGTATTTTCCCATGTTTCTTCAGATAGGCGTCCGTTTTAACAGCAGTCATTATGTTCCTAGCTCCGATGGCCAAGAAGGACTTACTTCAACCTTTTGAGGAATCAGTAGGTATCCACATAACCATGTAATACGGACGAATATCCGAGTTCAAGCATTTCCTGCTCTTCAAGTTTTATCGTTCCCAGTAGCTCAGACTCTTAGCACTGGAAATGGTTGTTATAGTGCAAAGAATTGAACACTGAAATGGCTGTCGTCCGGTGGTGATGGAGTTGTTTTTGACGAATTTAGTTTTCCAGCGACACGATAAGAATTGGGAGAGAAAATGTTCACTTTGTAGCTAGGAAGCTTTTATTGGGCAGTAAAGCTAACAGTAGTCTGGTGAACTTAAAACCTTGTGACGAAGTGCTGTTCTGTGAAGATTTTCATAAATGCCTACAGCAGGCATAGTAAGTGACAAATCAAATTAAAAGCAGCTGATTCGTCAGCCAGATAGGTTATTTAACCAATAGGGAACAATATTGTTTGACGTATAGGTATCTGATGCGTATACCAATACGTTATCAGGTTAGTAGATCCGGGAAGAAGCGCTGTTGCCAAGAAAACCGTGTTAATCAAAACAGTACCTTGGCCTGAACTTGTAGACGTGGAGCGTTTCAGGTAGGACTGACTCAGTGCTTGGAAAGATTTAATTTTGAGGACTGAGGTTCACAACATATTAACAAGTATTTAACGTGCAATTCAGGTTCCTCAGCATATTTCAGATTGTACCTAACCTTACGCTCCCGTTTCCAATTTCGCCTGTCGCTCGCTTTGTTATTCATTTTTCAGGTTTACCCAACCAGCCCTTCACTCGTGTGGAATCCTGGTGATCGCATTTTTCAGCTTGCACCACACCATCAAAACTTTGTGACTAACGCAAGGTCATGACTGTGCTGCCCACCCCACCTTCAAGAATATTGGAGGATTCAAACAGTAACCGAATAATTCCCATTTTCTAACTGGGCTTGCCTCAATATGATGAACAATTGTGTTGGTGTTTGTCCCTTTTATTTTTGCTGTCTGCAAAGCATTTACGTTCTCTCACTAGACGCATTTCTTATGTTCCGTGAATAGCGGTGTTCAGTGTGTAGCTTGATATTGTACATAACAGTCAGATCACGCTGCCAAAATGATCAAACCTGTGAACTGGTTTGTTTTCGTGTAACTTAGGCTGTATGAAATATATTATTATTATTATTTTTATTTGTTCCACCCCGCAGACTAGCACGTTTCGTCTTAGCCCAGGTGAGTTGGCACAACATATCTGCTTCCACTGCCAAGTTAGTTTTCCAGGTTAGAGTTAGGCCTAATATACCACGCCTGGAACTCAGTAAAATGTCCTTGCATTCTGTGCTTGGGGAGATACAAAACCAGCACAGAAAGGCGACCTTCAGAACCAAATCAGCAATGAGCACGTAAATTTCACCGAACAATATCATGAACTGTCCTTCGGGGTAGGTAAGTGAGACAAGAGAAATTAAGGTAATAGCAGCGTCCTATAGAGGGAAAAGTAAAATTATGAGATGCACATTAGTGAAAAAGAGGAAAAAGTAATTGGTGGGTTAGGTAAGAAAAGTTATGAGGTTGACCACAATTTGGGGCTAGGGAGCCGAAAATGTAGATCTTTATCGACTAACCTCCGTAGCGGGAACTTCAGCAAACATCAAAAAATCAAGAGCAGTGCAGGGTAAAGGATGATAGAGTTGAAAAGCACAGACTCCTTAAGTCAAGTATAAGAAATGGCCATTAGGGTAGAACATAGTTCCACATTCGATTTGATTTATAACACAGAGTGATACGCCGAATAAAAACAAATCCAATGTGGAATTACTTGGGCTCTTTACCTTATCTCTCCACATCCGAAATTAGGTTCACAGCGGCTGAATGTTGTTTGCTGGAAACGCTGCTGTGCATAACATAACCCATATTTTGATACGCCAGTCCTTGAGTGATAAAACAGAACTAGATCTGTCCTGGCAAACTGACCCATAGCATCAAAATGTGTCCAAGTTATTGAATTTCAGGAGAGTAAAGCTTGTTCACTGCTTCGGTTTCGTCGGCACCCACCTTCAAATGTTAGCTGAAACTAAGAGATTGGCTGATTTGCCGACCTTAACTAGAGAATACTTCCGCGATTGGTGTGCGAAACCGACTGCCTTGATGAAGCTCACGTCTGACCGGCAACATTCAACCACCTGCCAACTCGACCCACACTACATGGCGGCCAGCACCCCACATTCCAGTTCCACCCCCAAAAATGGAGAGCAAACAGCCTGCTTTCGATGCAATGAATCGGTCGAAGAAAGGAGATGCCGCCTTCCAACTGTAAGCATATCCCTACTCCGCCTTAAGTGGCTCTCAGTTTCTTCAGATACTAAGTCACATAGCTCTTCACCTTTAGCTTAGACTGTATTATTATTACTATCAATACTCGTGTGATAAACAGAGTTGCCTCCATATTTTTCCACAGGCCACCGAAGTAACTTTTTCAGCAGTGTTTGTCCGCAGAAACTGGTGATTCAAACGGCCCAAAACGTGTGGCTCAGCTGTCCGTCGAGTTGGCCCTTCCATGAAGGTTTTCAAGTAGACCATTCAGAACTCACTTGGGGCTCATCTGTGGTACCGCAAACAGAACCAACCAGGCCACACCATTGTGGGTTGGCAAAAACATGCAAGATTGTAGCCGCAAGATATGTCGCATAAGAAATAACGGCCAACCTACATAATCTTAGTCTAATGGAAACTGTAGGATTGTATGCAGTTAATGAGCTCTCACCTGGAGGGTGACAGAAATTCTTGTTAAGACTAGAAATACCATCCTCACTATGATCACAAAAATGAGTAGTATGACCTGGGAGGAAGAGCCTTAGGCTTTGAATCACTTCTCATTATCATTTCGTACAGAAAGAGATTTTGACGCAGTGTCTAAGGGTTTAAGAAGCAACTACACCATAACCTATCTTCCGCTATCCTATACATAGGATAAGAGCACGCCAGACAACTTAACAGTGGAGCCTGAGACAAACTGTTTCTCAGCGGGAAACTGGCTTTCGCATCGAGAAATTATCCCCTCGGCCCAACTTAGGGAAAAAGTAGTGTCCATACAGTCAGTGGAATCAATAAGTAGGCAAGCGAAAGGAAATGAAAATCCCTTGAATGAGAACTGAAATTAGTTGGTTACACTCTACCTTCAAATAAAATTTGAAATGTGTCGAATACTAAACGTCAGGAGAGTGACAGCCAGGATAAGTCATCGTGACAAGAAATGATTATGATAGACATTCAATAAAATTACCACTGGAAGGTGTGATTGATATTACTTTTTCATTAAAGTCAGTTTGTGGAGTGGAAATTGTCATTCCAGTGTTTCTTCTTAAGGCGGGTGATAAGACCCTTCAAGGTTATTCGAAAAGATACTTCTGACCTCCATGTAGTCATTTCTGCAAAAAGTGAGGGAATTTAGTTCACAGGTTGTAGGTCACTACCAAATCTTTTTGAGTTGTATGCATGAGGCGAATAGGAGCCGATAATGAATAACATTGTAAAAGTAGGGAATCATGGTTAAATGGCCCGGGTTCTACATATATTAAAGGGAAGCGTCCCATGTTTGGAATAGTCTAATTTATCGTCCAGGTTGGCAGATTTTATTGATTATAGTCTGTTTTTACTACGAAACTGAGCATTCAGCTTCGAGGCTCAGTTAGATCTAATCGAAGACATTATGGCAAATGGACTGTAATAACTTCAGGGAGTTAATTCCACAGCCTACGGATCCCAACTCAAAATGATTTAGAAAAACTCCCTTTGAGTCCTTTCGTGTTCTACTACTCCTAATGGATTCAGTATTTTCAGATTTAGGTAGTATAGACCGAGTAGACTACTAAGCTTAGATGACATCTATTGTGGGGTACTTGATTAAAGCTTGAAATGGGACTATCAAGACAGAAAATATAAACAGTAGGTTGCACCTTAATCATGTCTCTTCTGAACCGGCCGCTTTTTACCGGGTGCATGGGATCTAGGTAAGGTTTGTATCTTAGTCTATTCATCTTTATGGTATCTTATGAATCCATTTCCAGAAAAGCGATTTTGTATAGGTAAGGGGATATGATTAGCAAGCTTTTCTGTGGGCTTAGATGGAAATGTTGTCCATTTGCTGGAGTAAATAAAAACGAAGTTATTCTCCCATAAGTTTGAGAAATAAACTCCATGTGCCTAGGCTGCAAAGGAGCAGTATGTGTGTCAGTCACAACAACTCCTAAATCTTCCTGATGGTTTAGCTGGGAGAAGATTGTTTCTCAGGAAGTAAGAACTAGAATTATACACATGTTTTGCTTACTGTCATTATCCTACACTTCTCCGTGTTGAGAGGAAGCAGGGTTTCAGTTGTCCAGTTTAGGATTACAGATAGATCTTTGTGAAAGGCAGAGGTATCTGTTGAACTCGCTCCACCCAAACCTCCAGATTATCATCGAATAAGTGAATGAAAATTTAGCGTTGTTAGTAAGTCATCTATGAAAGCAAAAAGCAGTACTCGGCACAGATTGAAACCCTACCCAACATTGGGAACAAACTAGACAAGAAAGAGTCAACCCGGACTGATTGCAACCAAGTTATAAGCAAGGTTTAAGCCAACTAAGTGACCCATAAGCTAAAATTCCTTACACAGTATATCACGACTAACCCCGTAAAAGGCCTTCGGGAAATCAAGTAAAGCAATATGAATGGGCTTTTTCTGTTCAACGGAGAGAGTAGCCTTTCCATACTATCAAGAAGTTGGTGTCACATAAGCTGCCACGTATAAACCTGTGTTGACAGTCTGTTAGGATTGAATTCCTAAGTAAATAACTCCGAAATTAGTCATGTATTACTCTCTCCATAACCTTTGGAGCTGAAGACGTCAGCCAAATAGGTCTATAGTTAGACGCAAAAAACTGACGTTCACCTTTATATACTGGGACGATTGCCACTTTTTCAATCCGAGGATAACCCATCTTCCATGAACGAATATCTGAATAGATATGCTAGTGGGATGCATAGGTCCCCGACACAACGTTTAAGTACTTTCAGAACAACGCCATCAATTCCTAACGATTTTTTAGGAGTTAAGTGTCTTAAAATTCAAATCCAAGCTTTCCACCACTTCTCCCTTTATCCTTAAACTAGGAGTGGTTGCAGATCGGTCCTGAAACACCATCTCAAGCTTGGTAGTTGCGAAATACACTCCAGAACATACTCAGATTTCCACTTAAGGCCTTCAGAAGACTGCATTTTGTCAGCGTCTTCACCTAATAGGACAGTATCATCTGCATACTCCGAGTCAACCAAATGCTATCCAGGGAGTAAATCGATCCCCATGAAGTCAGAGATACTTAAGATTATGTCGACCTTAAGTTGTCGTCAATTCACATGACGACTCTTCATAAGCCGTTACACGGTTACGAGACTTCGCATTAAGAGCTTTTATTAACGTTACATACTGGTTTGGTACTCTTTTCATATTCAGACACTGCCACACCTCACGGTCGACACAGTCGAATACCCACTTCAAGTTAAGAAATACGGCGTGTCGACCATTGGCCAATAAGTATACCTGTGGATGGGTGGAAATCTGGCCGATGTACCATCGTCCAGGTCTGAAACCTGCCAGGTTTTCTGGAACTGCAGTTAGGCGTCAGCTAACTGTCGACCCAAGGATCTTGGACACAATGTTAGCCAAACTAATTCCTGTATGGTCGTCACAAGAAGACTTCTTTCCCTTTGTATGGACTAGGATGATCATTGAAGTAGGCTTGAAGAGTAGGACTATTTGGGACCCCCATACACTGTCTAGTATCTCAGTTACTGTACCCAGTAATTTCCCTCCTGGATCCTTCAAAACTTCCAGTTGCAAACCATCCTGTCCCATACTTCGCACCGTTTCTGGTTTGAGATAGTCTTCTCAAATTTGAGGAGATTTAGAGCACCGATATCAACGTCTCATTCAGGTTCGGGCTTGGGGCTGAATAACTGAATCGTTGCTGTGGGCCAGTTCAACTGTTATTAAAAGTGTTCCACCCAACATTGTAGTCACCTATCCTGAGCAGTTATCAGCGTGATAGTCTCACTAACCATCGTTTTCTTCCCGGTGTCCTTAATAAGCCTAAAGAGTTGCTGGGTATTGCCTCCTGCTGATTTCTCCATCTCCCTCTCTCTGACCACTTGCCACTGCTCGCGACCATTGCGAAGACTTAGTCAGCTTACGTGTAAGTTGCTTTCACTCTTCATTGTCGTCAAATTCAGGTGGAATAGTTTTCTTGCATCAGTCAGTTAGTTCGATTGAGGTTGGGTAAGTCCATTAACCTTTGCTAACCTGAGGATGTGGGTAACCAGCTGTCTCTACCACTGTTTCTGCAGCAAACTTAATATCACCCCTATTTTTTCTCGGGATGATGATCGCTGTCACGTTCATATGTTTGCTTAGCTATCTGCTCTCTAAATACGTACTTGACGTTCTCATCTTTCAGTGGAGCACGTGCAGATTTAACTACTGTCTGTTTCCTGCGAGCATTAAGTTACGGACGCACGTACTTGTACTCATATGTGGGTGGGGTTCAAACATTAACTCTAGAAAGAACGGCAATCCTGCACGTGTCCTCTCTAACGATTCCTCATAGCCCTAGGACCATGGTTGGTTCGACACCATGTGAGACAGTGACTCTTCTCATTTTTAAAGTTATTGCTGGCCAAAAACAGCTGATTCGTTGACATGGGATACCATAGATACCTTTGAAATGCCTTTCCCGTTGGCTCAGCTTCCATATTTCAGCGTTGAAGTCACCTGCCATTATAACTATATCCAAACGGTTTGACTTCTGTAGCGAAATCGACATCTTATGATAGAATTGATCATTTGCAGCATCCCTACTGCATTTGGTGGGTGCGAAGATTACAAAAAGCTATCGATTGATCTCATGACCCTTCCTACTTCTCACAAATCCATTCATTCGAACAGTACATAGACGGCTGTTAACTGGTGTCCAGTCAAAGAGTGGACTTTCCGCTCTACAACAACAATATGCTTACGCCAACGAGTTCACGAAAGCTAATCAATCACTGAATCTCCGAATACTCGTAAGGTGAATTTTGAAGATTCATTGGATCGGTTAGGTGAGGTCAAGTTAGTAAACCCACTCGATTCCTGTATTCTTGTGTCAGAAACAACACACACCCATGGGTCGACACTAGAGTTAGCGATGGTTAGCGATGCCAGCTGTCCAGTATGACATAGGGTTAGGGCGTTGAAGGATCCAATATGAAACCGACAATGGGACCTTAGAAGACTAGAGATGGTGTTTCAATGACTTGGACCGTGAGAAATGGTTGCAGAGTGAGAGGTTAGGGAAGTCGTAAGAGGCTTGATATTGGTATCATAAGATGAAGGTGAAGGAGCAGACAGTTGAGGTAAACAGGTTATATTTGATTGAGCCTTGTATACTACTGGGGTGGTGCTTTTGTCTGACATCTGGGCTGTCCATACCGTGGAAGTTGTTTGTATTGAGTATCTGAAAGAGAAGAGAGAGGTTTGTGTAGCTGTAAAGCCCATATGAAGTCTGTTTGGCGCCCATTACATATAGTCTTTCGAGGATTGTTGATATAGTATTTGATTTTTCTGACGTATTAATCTGATTGTAGCTCAAGGCGACAAATGCTTACTTACTAGGTCATGAGTCACACTTGTTTGAAAACTTATAATGCAATCTGGTCTCCAAGGTTGAAGCAGAACTATTGTATTAACACAGACCAGTCCTAAGGCAACAATTTGGTTGTGGATGGTGAGAAACGCATCCTAAGCATTCTTGAATCAGTTGCTACTCAAAATGTCCAGAAGACTGGATCTTTTCATTGTCTTCACCTGAAATGATAAAAGTTAATGGCGTTCGAAAACTCACTCCAACTTCTGGAAAGCTGAGTTACAGCCTATTTTATGAGAATAGCAGTTGGTTGCGTAAGTTGAAGTAGTTGGGCCTGATTTAAAAGGATTTTTACAATAGTTTTGTTAGTGCCTCTTGTTGGGCCTACTCTGGGTTCTCTACTTTATTGTATTTTCTGATATTATCATCCTTAATTATTAACGGACTTAATGGACTTCATCGTTTATAGTGACTGTATGCTTTTAGTTCCAGAAAGTTTTAAATCTGATATCTACAGGCTTTTGGAATATATAGTGAAGATCAAAAAATAATCACTACAATGGAGCTATATTTGATGCTTCGGTGATCATTTCAACTGAACCCCCTTCTTTGTCAATTTAGTGATTGTTTGATTGTTCAATTGAATATGCTTTGCTCTTCATCCTTATTTTCCTTGTTCGTTCTTGCTAAAAGGTTTTACCGTGCAGTTAGTGGAATCAGATTTCTAGCTTACCAACACCAGTCTTGTTCAGTCATCCACACCAGCCGTAATGTCTTTGAGTGAAATAGTTGAAAATGTGAAGCAGGCAAGAGAATTGGCTCTCCTTGGAAATTACGAAAGTTCACTAACTTATTATTCAGTTGGTATTGCGCAGCTGAAAAAATTCACTGTATCCATTTCGGAAGCAAATAGAAAACAACAGTGGCAAACTGTAAGTATTACTATGAAGTAACGCGTGAACAACTTTTCTCATATCTTGAGTCTTTATTTCTCTGACCAAAGTTATGAATGGTGTCAGGCTAAAATAGAACCAACGTTTATGTATGGATGTATGGATCCTAAGTAATAAAATTCAGCTAGTAGCTTACTCATTTGAATAAACTTATCAAACTCATGAATTTCCCTTTTGTATGTAATTTGATTGAATAATCGATGTTTAAAAACTGAAGTGTAATCGTATCAAGAACAGTTATACTAGAATAGTATGCATACAGAAAGCAAACCAGCTGCAATCCATAAGACAAAGTTAACACATTCATTTAAGGTGAATTTGATACGCTGTATGTGCCCAGAAATAAACCACACAGTAGGTATGGACTTCATAGTCATCATAAAAATCAACATAGGACCAGGCGTTAAAGCGTAACACTCCATAGTTGCCACACATCAGGACATCAGGTAACAAGGCAATGAAATGGATGATGAAGAAAGGAAGAAAAATCGGTTGAAGGAAGTAAAAAGTAGACAAAGAGAGGAAGAAGGAATGAGAAAATGATGAGGTTAAGTATAGCGGTTAACATGAGGGTAATGTGTGTATACATCTGCGCCACTGACGTCAGTTCTGAACCATATCACCTGGAGTCCTCAACCACTGGTTCCTCTTGTCCTGCGTACCCCAACCGGCTAGTCTGCATCTCCATACATGGCTCGGACGAACGGTCGAAGACTTCTTGCATTTATGCCCCGTTTTAGTCTGAAATTTTTGTCTAAACACTCAGTGCTATACCTACACCTGCAAGACCATGAAGACTAGCCATCGAACCTCTAGAAACCTGAAGGGTCAGTTTTGCTGATTCATCATATTAGCCAGGAGAGGTTCATTTGAATAACCCCACTTAGGCCCTGTATATATTGTCTCACAAGCACAGCACACATTCATGGCCAGTGAAGCTTATTGGCCAATTTAATGGAGGGTGTGGACATCAAAGGCTCCAATATGTAATTTGAGGCGTGGTTTAAGGAGACCAAGGATGCTGTTCTGTGGACTCATATCGTTGTCAAAATCTGGAGAGCTAGGAGAAACTAAAGATGACGCAGAATTGTTAACTGAGAGATGTGAAGGAAGATTAGAAGGTAGGGATAAGAAAGGTGGATAGTGGTCTGAGGGAAAGTGAACCCTTTCAGAGTTGTGATGGCGGTTGACATTTCCTAGATGTCCATACCGTGGTTGATTAGGCCTTCTTGAGGTATCTCAAAGAGGGCAAAATTTGTGTGACCGCATAGCCCGTTGAACTTCTGCTTGTGGCGTATCACAAACAGCTCCTTTTAGGTTCTTGTTGTGAGGCTTAGTTGTTCTAACGCCGGATAAACAAAATAACCCATACCACCGGCATCTGAGACCATGGTGCATAGTGGAGTGTTACTTTTCTAACCCTTCCTTCCGTTGAGAAGAGAGCATTAGCAAGGGACTGCTGGTCATTTAAGGCAAGCATCTCACTGCTGTCACATCCCATCCAGCTAGCAGCAGTTCGACTTCACCCTCAGACCCCATCATAGTTTAGTAATTTACACTACAACGGTAACTGCTTTTCGTCTTGCTACTGTCCAACAGACCTTTTTGGCATGGCAGAACCTCAAGGGAACAACTATTTCACCAGCATAGCTTATTGGGTCATTGTGATATGCAGGTCTGACCATCACGTCAAGGTAGCAGCCATTGGTCGGGAGATGCTCACTTGAACAGCTGGAGTCACGTAATAATAATAATAATAATAATAATAATAATAATAATAATAATAATCCTATACTGAAGTTTATTTACTAAAGTAAGTTAGTGATTTATGCGCTTTATGTAGTAAGAAAGTTTTCATGTTTTAAGCATCCAGGTCTTCGATCCTCAATTTCCTGCGTTTTTCATGTTTTTCGCTTCTTTCTATTTAAGACACAAATTGTACAGCATAGGCACTAACAAAAGCGGTATCAGATAATTTGACTTATTCACATAACAAAAGAATGTGTTCTAAACTATGAGTTACACTTACTTTATGTAGACCTTTAGTATTATACGGTTTCCAAGGTCGAAGTAGGCATAAGAGGATTTGAATGCAAAAACGTTTTGCCGGAAGTCGAGTGTGTTCACAAATGAATCAAGTTAGTTATCTGTGATACAATACGAATAGATCGTACGAAAATAAGATCGTTATCAGACACAAATTAGGTCAGTAGGATCTCTTGTATCTCTTATTTCTTACAGTAAATATTTTATCTCTGCTTTAAATGTTATCAGAAGTTTTCAGTTCTATGTAGTAAATTAAGCTGTTCCGAGTCTCTTCGCCAACCGCTCATGTGCAGTGTGAAGAAGAGTTGCCCACCGATGTATTGCTTGTTACACTAGTGAAGTGGTTATGACGTTTTCTTTTTAAGGACTGTATTGTAAAGTTATTTGGGCTCATTTCAGTAATTCAGTGCTGATATCGTTTTATGATTTTTCACTGTTTAAATCTCTAAAGTATTGTGGCTCTTACTTGTCATTCTTGTCTTTCTCTCAGGTACGGCAAGAGCTAGCGGAAGAATATGAATTAGTAAAAGACGTGAATCAAACTTTATCTAGTTTTAAATTATCTGATGACGATTCTGGCTTGAGCGCTTTCGCAAGCCGTTACAATTCCCGTGCAGCTGTTGAAGAACCAACTAGAGATCCTGATGTTTGGCCACCTCCACCACCTTTAGAGCGAAGACATGGAACCAATTCTCAAAATACTTCTGTATCAAATGTCCAGGCAAATCCGCTTTCTGGTCCCTATTACAAACCACCTGTTGCTCATGGTCCGGCTTATTCTCCTCCTTGTGTTAACTCAAAGTCACCTGCCAATGTCGCAGGGTTAGCTCGACGTCCAGTGAAATCTAATCCTACAGTTGCTCGATCCAAGTCTACGGCTCAATCTTCCGGTAATGCTGCTATTTTGTTTCGTTTCCATATCGCTATTGAAAAAATAAACAATTTTATTCAATTGCTTCTGGCTTATTCAGTAGTGATGCCTTCTGTTCTGTGGGACTTGAAATCTTGTAAGACTGGTGGGGCATGCGAAGTTTTATCTGTTTCAAAGAAACCTAGAACGGTCATTACCTCAGGATCTATAGCTTTTTTTGATAAACTTAAATGTTCATTTCAGTTTGGAATAAATCATGAACTGACATCAGTTGGCCCTCGAGTGGAACCCAAACAGGAAACGACGAGTTGGGCATCTGAGCCGAGGGTGACATGGTGGAGATCGTGTGAGGAAGAAATGAAAGCTTCTGAGCAGTCGTGGAGTCAGGTTGAAAAGACTGTAGAGAAGAGAGTGAAATGGCAACGTGCTACTGAAGCCCTATGTCCGACTAGGAACCCAAAGAATAAATGATAAATATAAAAATAACACCAGTTGAAGGAACATTGGAAACCTGGGAGCACTGAGCAGCTGTTTTGTTCTAGTGTGGGACTCCTCAGCATTGCGCAACCGTGACCACGCCAGAGATCGAACCCAGGAACTTCAGGTTCCGTGGCTAGCACGTTGTCATTGAGTCACTGGGTCGGAACCCAGTGGTTCACATTTCCAACTTATATCAGTTGACGATATGCGACCTTCATTCAGTGCCGTGACCAGTGAAGCTAACCAAGTCGAACATGAGGACAGTTACTCAACGACGACATTGAATGGAGGTCGCGCTATATCATGAACTCATAGAAGAAGGAAATATTGACCATTGGGTTCCGACCCAGCGGCTCAGTGGTAACGTGCTGGCCACGGAACCTGAAGTTCCTAGGTTCGACCTCTGGCGGGCGGGGTCATGGGTGCGCACTACTGAGAAGTTTTGTACCAGGACAAAACAGCTGTCCAGTGCTCCCAGGTTTCCAATGTTCCTACAACTGATGTCGGTCCATGATGAATTCCAACATGAAACCAATTAATGAATCTCCACAAACCCCCTTGATTGAATAAAATGTTTATTGCTTAAAACATTGTTGTTGGAAAAGTAAGCTAAGTTTATCTTGGTGTTGTAGCAACTAATCTTAGGAAGTAAACATTGATAAAACTAAATATCAAGAAAAACCACATTAGAAACAAAATTGTTTTGAAAATTGTAGTTCGCATAATCACTACTACACGACTGTTTTTGTATCTGATAATCCAGATAAGAGTAAATATGCATCCTATCCGTGTTACATCAAACGGCACTGTTTGCTGAGGCAAAAACAGATGAAGTATAGGAGGAAACTGTTTCATAGAACTAAATAATATCAATAGGCGCAGTTATTAATTTCTTATTTAACAGGGATTATAACGTAGAATGCCTTCACAGGGCTAAGAGACTAGACAGTAAAAGGATAACTAAGTAGTGCTAAGAATACAAGCTGTTCCTCAAATCTGGGATGTTCGAACGCAGGATTTCAGTGGGCGAATTCAGCAAGATTTAGACTAACCAGCTAGAAATGAGCTGAATGAGCAATACGCCTGTGGATGGGACCTGCTGTCTTATTTGGAACTGACGCTTAGTTCATAAACAAAACAACCTTCATAATTTTAAACACATTGGTCGATAGAGAAAATCATATGGCTATCAGCACACCGAAAATAAATGATTAAATTGACTTCGTAGGATTTCGAGATAGTGGACAATGTTCGTCGCTCAAGTTGATGATTTTGGTGGTATTCTGTTCTCTGGACTGGACAGTTTTGATCGCAGAGTTTTTATTGTTATTCAAAACATCACAAGATTCAGAGACTTCTTTCTGAAGTTAGTATACTGAATTAACTGGCTAGTTGGTTGTGCTCTGTAGTCAAACATTCTGTCCAAGAAACTAGGTACGCAGTGAATCTAAATACTCAGCAACCTAACTGGTCCATATATTACTTTATTTAAATTATAACTCGTTTAAAAAAATTTATTTTTCCTATAATTTAGTGAACAATCGTCGTCCCAAACCTGGATCCCAATCTACTGGAGATCCCGCAAGTAATAATGAAGAAAAGTTTGATGCGAGCGGGTATGATAAGGATCTTGTAGAAACACTGGAAAGAGATATCGTTCAACGCAATCCGAATGTTCGATGGGATGACATAGCTGCATTAGATGATGCAAAGCGTTTGCTTCAAGAAGCTGTAGTTCTACCGATGGTTATTCCTGGTTTCTTTAAGGGGATTCGTAGGCCATGGAAAGTAAGCTCTATGTGTACTTTGGTTATACGGATTATCTGGCATCATTATAAGATTATTTAGAGCAGAACGCATACTCCTCTTTATTGTGTTTGATCAGTCTACTGCTTGGAAAGCAATATTATTGACATTGTTACGTTTACTTAGTAGAATTAGGATTTTGATGGGGAGCTCATGCATGAATATTTAAGTTGCAGGTGTTACATATTTTCTAGAGAATCACTGGTTCCTAATTTTAAACGATTATTATAAGGCATTCTCAACCTAACCCAATGTGTTTACAAGACGAAAGCAAGAAATCTAAAATTCTATAAAATTTAGTTCCATTTTCTTTAATACTGGTCGTTACCGAAGTTTTCACTATGCTTGTTGTGCATTTCAAGTTACCTGGTTGCTGCTTTATTTATCTCGTTGGTGTTACTGCACCTTGAACGCTTACTTGGGAAACTAGTTTTAAAAATTTTAACAGCTTTTACTTCGTCTGTGCTTAGTAATTGGAGGCGTAGAAGCCTGAGGATTTCAGTGGCCCTTTGTGTAGAATGGTAAAGACTGGATGTTGATCAGTTGAGTACTCTGAACCTACTAGATGGGTAAGTAATGCGTTTTCATTAGACTTTTCTGTTCCTATACGTAATCACACAAGATGGCGTTGGATAAATTGATGGTGGTTTCGCTGGGTTGTTCTTCCTGTGTTACCTAAAGAACATCTGGGCCTATAAATACAAATAGGAGTGACTGGACTTGACACTTTGCAATTCAGCTGCATTGATATCATACATTAGACGGCACATTTTACACAGATTCATTGTCAGCGACCCCACAGCTGTGTCTCCTTTGTACACCTTGGTATTGTCCGAAAGTAATTTTGAAGTGGTTGCATTGTAACAAGCTTTACAAGTTTGGGAATGCCGTTTTCCCCTAAAGAGTTTTTTGCTGTTCTTATTTCTTCATTTAAAATATCAGATATGCAAATTTTTCTGATTCGAAATGTCAGAGTACAGATTCGTCTTCCTTTGTATATAATCGGAACTAATGGTTTAAAATTTATGTATTGGCTGACGGGTAACTTCTTACGAAAAATACAACGCCTAATACTGGCACCTATTCTTCTTAGTAGAGAAATATCAAGCACGATTAATATTTCTATACAGCCATCTATTATTTTAAGAACACTATTCTATAACTCACTAAATATTTAAACTAATTTCCTATCAAATGATACGAAAAAAGAATTATTCTATCAAACAAAACGAAATATGATCGTACTCCATGTACTTGCTATAGGAACTGAGGTCCATATTAATTTATACGGATGGTGAACTATTATTCACAGTTTTGTGGTTAATATTTAGATTTCACCGTTATATTCAACTGGGCATTTTTTGAGCACTGCACAATAAATGTATCTTACAGTGATTTGTTCCATGCTGAATCATTTTTACTTAGTATAATTTTCTGAAGTTAACTTCAATGTCGCGCGTCACGAAAGGCATTTCCAATAAACTACAGACATTCATCAACAACTGCTTACGCTCGCTACTGGAGATCAGATGGCCAGAAAGAATAAGCAACAAGGAGCTCTGGGAACGAACCAACCAAGAACCTATCACGCAACAAATATGCAGGAAGAAGTGGAGATGGATTGGCCATGCACTGAGAAGGCCGACTGAGGACATCACGCGTCAGGCCCTCGAGTGGAATCCCCATGGGAAGCGACGAGTTGGACGTCCAAGGGTGACATGGAGGAGGTCGTGCGAGGAGGAAATGAGAGCTTGTGGGTTGTCGTGGGACCAGGTTCAAAAGATCTCAGAGAACAGAGGTCACTGGAGGCGTGCAACTGAAGCCCTATGTTCCACTAGGAACTCAAGGGACTAATAATAATAATAACTTCAATGTGACTTTTCACTAAATATAATAATATGATGCAGCTCATCATCTACACAGTTTTGTGCGCTGAGCAGTGAGATACATCAGCTGTATATGAGGGCTAGTGTACTACCTGGGTGATCACACCTTAGTAAGTGGTGAGTTGGAAGCCGGGACTAACTATTTGAAAGTCGGATCCCTAGACAAATGACCCCGGTCACTATTTCTTTTTGGAGTTAATTACTGTTATTAGACTTAGAAATGCCAATAAAAATGGTATTCCAAGTAGGTACGATGAATATTTTCCCGTGTTTCTCACTACCATATGTGCCATCATACTTTGTGTTTTTTTCAGGGTGTTTTAATGGTTGGTCCACCGGGAACTGGTAAAACACTGTTGGCTAAAGCTGTAGCTACAGAATGTGGTACTACATTCTTTAATGTTTCCAGTTCTAGTTTGACAAGTAAATGGAGAGGAGAATCCGAGAAATTGGTTAGACTTTTATTCGACATGGCGCGTTTCTATGCTCCAAGTACAATATTCATGGATGAAATTGATTCAATTTGTTCTCGACGCGGCAGTGAGTCGGAACATGAAAGTTCTAGACGTGTGAAATCTGAACTTTTGGTACAAATGGATGGTATGTCTGAACATTGGTAAAATGTTATTTTCCAGTTGTCTCTCAGATGACCTCAAGTGATTTTATTTTGTACTCAGTATCTTCAAGTATGATAAATGACAAGAGCTATTTGTTTCATAAAGTAGAATATAGTATCTACAGTTTTTCGTCCCTTTTTCTGAGTTGATTTTTTCCATTGATATAAGCAATTCGTTTTGAGTTGTACAGTTTCAGGTCGAAATTCTACTTTATACACTTTGAACTAAACAGCCAATTACTATCGGATGGTCGTACAAAATAAACGAGGTACTGTTCGCATTAGCTTATTCCGATGACTAGTTGGTTTAGGTGGTTAATAAAGTAAGGAATTCATAGATATTTTTTTCAATTATGCTTCGGTTTTAAAATCGAATTGTGTAAGCTTTGTCTTGATTCGTGGTTCAGGAACTAGTCAATTACTATTAACATGGCCTCAAAAAGCAGCCGTTATCAGCTTATTTTATGAAAGTTTTTGGATTATGAGAAACCTATCTAGGATCTGTAAAAGTAATAAAATTCACACTACTAACTAAGAAATGTCAGTTGACATATTACGTTCAATACTGAATGTTTATTGAATAATAAAATAATGAGTAATAGTAAATGAATTCATATGATAACCACTACTTGGTTTCCAATATCTGATCTACAAATCTTATATAGTGTACGCAACAGACGGTGCGTATCCAATCTTCACTGTTCACCCTAAAAATACTCTTACTAAAGTATGTTGTCAGTGGATAATAAGGTATAAACCTTAAAAGTAGCCATGGTCGGTGATACAGGAGATATGCTCTCTTCCTTACGTTAATCTCTTCTGCAAATGCTGGTTTCAGTCCAGAGCTTCTCTGAAAGTCGTTGGTTTGACGTGTACGATGCTAATCGCATTAAAAGGTAGTTGCTTTTGTTTTCTGTTATACTGCTAAGGTCTTACACTAGTGAACTTTCTGTACTCGGACGTTAGCTGTTAACCTATAGTATTTGGTCAACGACTAATAGTGGAGTTACTTTGCGCTGAAGAAACTGCACCTGTCATGCGATTTATTACCAGTGCTTACTTTAGATTCAAGTGTACCAAAGTACTCATTGTCTTAGAGAGGTGTTTTTGTTATTCTTTTCATCACCGCATTGTAAGTGCCTTAGGGCATTTACCATACGACTAGTCGTCATGCAACAGACTGTGACTCATTGTAGACTGCCTAGGGGTTTAAGTATAAACTATATGTGTGTGACATAAACAAATAAATGGTTAACATCTTACATAAAATGTTTTTGAAATTTGTTTTCACTAGGTGTAACAGGAGCTACAGGACAAGATGAAGATCCTACAAAGTCGGTGATGGTTCTTGCTGCTACTAATTTCCCATGGGATATCGATGAAGCCTTACGAAGACGTCTTGAGAAACGAGTATATATACCACTGCCAAATGGTATGAGATTGTCTTAAAGTATTTTCTTCATATCAATAAAGCTTATTAAAAATGAGGCTGCATGAACCCTGAGAAGCTTCACGGTTTATGTGTTGATATAATTTAGCGCAAACTGACAACACTGCAGTGTTAATCTGTTTGTGCTCACTTTTTCTTATTTCTCTACCTTCAAATGAAACCGAATCTCTTCATAGTAGTATAGTTTTATCTTAGTTTCAGTATATTTAAGGTCACGTACGCTCCCTATTGTGAACCACTCTTCAGGGCGCTATTTCACATAAAATTAATTTCACATACAGCCAGCTTGATATATTTAATTCTGAACTCTGACATTCCTTATCTATGTGCAGAAAGAGTTGTAAAGACAGAGACAAACCATAGGTCAACAGTAGGAAACACCACTAGAAAATGATTTACGCTAGATTATGGTTTTCTTTTTGGATAGATGCAGTTTATATTCAGATTATTTCTTGTGACATTTTGATATCTGTAGTAGTCAATATATTACGTCCCAGGAACCTAGTGGCTGATATAAATCACATTTATGTACACTTTCCGCAGATGAATATTAATTAAACCATGAAATTTGTTTCCTAATTCCTGTAATGAGTTATGCTTAATTGGTCTTCAAAGCATTCAAAGTATTTTCAGTACTCAGCAACGGTGAAAACTTATAGTTAACTCGTGCATATGCCTCTTAAAATAAATTATTTTGATCAACAAATTAAACTATATTTCGGTGTTGAATGTCGAGGTCTATCGGCAAGAATCCCTGCTCGACCAAGTTTTGGTATTTGTTGACTTTCATCTACAAGGCATATCTGTAGCCTTGAGGAGGAGACAGGTGTTCTCTCTGTGCTTCGACTATTTATCACTCACTGCTGACTGTAGAGACTTTGCTGTTAAATTGTTCTATGTAGGAATACTGGTTTTCAGCAAATGGAGGGTAAAACACGCGTATTTCTGCTTAAGAATAATGAAGTTATCGTATTCACTATCTTTTACGGCTCGAAAAAATCGATTCACACTCACCATCTTATTTTTCTACCTAATTCTATCAGTCTGACCATTGATGTGTTTTCCCCTCGAAGTTTTACGGTCGCATTGTGATGCGTAACTTGAAAAAGAACTTATCTATGCCGTATATGATGTCTAGTTAACTGTACAACAGATGAGTTAGCTAAACTTTATGTTTTAACTCACAACTATTGTTTAACTGTTGTCCGTTGGTGATTGTCCTTAGTGGCAAAATAAATAAACATAGAAAAATCAAACTACTGACCAGATAATTAATGAAATAAACAGTCATCTGCCAGAAAGTAGTCGGTCACAGACACTGGGAACGATCAGTAAGTCGCCAAAAAATTCTAGCCTTGATGGCATAAAAATATTCTTCTTCTAAGCTGAATCAATCAAGTCTTAATTATTGGATCAGCTGAATTGTTGATTTCTAACAAACTGATGTATCTTTCAGGAAAATAAGGGTTAAGTTCAATATTTAATCATTACACTAAACAGAACTTATTAACCATATTAAGCGGATTGTTCTTTCTTTTTAACGAAACCCTCCATTCCATTTTAATGATAAATATCAATGTTTTGCTTCTTGACATTGCTCATTTATGGACTCGGTGGGTTTTCTAAATTTTGATATAATACCAGTACAGATTATGCTTGAAATAACAGTGTAATTGAACTTTATTCACATTACTTTTTAATGAATAAAAATCTTCAATAGACTTAATATTTCAGTGGTTTGTGGATTATATGAATCAACACTTTTTAAAGTGGTAAAAAGTAGTAGTTCATTTGCTAAAAAGAATAACTTGCCTCTTTTTTACCTCTTAACCGTCATCAAATTTCTGAAAAACTGATCAGCAGTTCATTTAAAATTCATCTGAAATTTTCCTATTTTATTTTCTACGCTTAATTTGTACACACTATTATGTTAAGATTTATCTCTTACTAATACAACACCAAAGTATGGATTCGTCCAGTGATGGATGAGCATCACCTACAATGGGATGCTTTTTTTCTACAATATAGTTATTTAAATTAACCGTTATAAGAAAAATCTGGATAAACCTTCAGAGTATCATTCATATGTGACCTTGTTAGAGACGAATCCTTAAGTTTGTTCAGGCAGTTTAACTCACCTTTGTGCTTTCAAAAACAGTTTCAAGTTCGTATTCACCATGGACTGACATCAGTTGGAGGAACATTGGGGACCTAGGAGCACTAGGTAGTTGTTTCATCTTGGGTATAGGACGCCTCAGCAGTGCGCACCCATGGCCCCGCCAGGGATCGAACCCAGGACCTTCAGGTTCGTGGCCAGCACATTACCATTCAGTTGCTGGGTCGGGACCCGATGGTCCATATGTCCAATTTCTGTGCTCATTCGTGACTAGCTTCGAGGGGTGATTCCTGTAGTTCCAATGAGGAGTCGTGACCGGTGGTGTAAACCTAGTGGACGTGAGGACAAATTCTCAACGATGACTTTGGGTGATAGTCGTGTTGTGTCGTGAACTGACAGAAGTTGGAAATATGGACCATTGGATTCCGATCCATTGGCTCAGTGATAACGTGCTGGCCACGGAACCTGGATTCGGCCCCTGGTGCGGTCATGGGTGCGCACTGATGTATAGTCCCATACTAGGAGGAAACATCTGTCAAGTGCTCCCAGGTTCCCAATGTTCCTCCAACTGATATCAGTCCATGGTGAATGCCAAATACAAATCAATAAATCCCTACAAACCCCAATTGAACCAAAAGCAATTTATCACATTAAATCTCCCTTTGTGAATTCAACTCTGAAACCAAGTTCGATGTAGTTATATTTTCGTTCTATTGATTTTCATTATTATTTGGCTTCTAATTCAGCCTTATTACTTGACCTCTTTTCATATTCTCACCTCTTTGTGAATTTTCCTATCAATTCCTATGACAACTACTTGTGTGATCATATTCTTCAAAATGTTTGACGCGAATATACTACGCGGTTCAGACAATATACGTCTTTTCATTGTTATTGTTTTGTTCATAAGTTCCTAAGGCTATATTGGTTAGGTTAGTTAGAACGTTTAACATGCATAATTGGCTGCTACCATCAAGTCAGACAGATCACAGTACCAATATGTGAGGTTATACATAGGCGTTGCGAATGGTAGTTGTTGATTGAAAACACTTAGTGTAGATTAGGAATTATTTATACTGGTAATTCCTTCTCGTTCAGAATCATTGCCACTTGTAATGGCATGATTATCTCTCGCATTGTCTTCTATTCTCTCCATTCCACTTTTATTCGTTTTCCATCTTTTTCTTTGCACTTACAAAAGTTATGGCAAATTTAAATGGTCAATCATCAAACCATTTTATGCAGTGAACCAGTTAACCAGCCATGTTCATATTACCATACATGATTGTCTACTGACTGACTGACTGATCGACAAAATCAACGTAGAACCTCGCACACAAGTGCATCAACTCAAGTTGCCACACTTCACAAAAGTATACAAAGACCTGGTGGATAGGAAGGGAGTAGTGTTTAAATAGATAAAGTAGTGTGAGAAAACAAACAGTTTGAAGATAAAGGTCATTCTGAATATTCAAGACGTCAAGGAGTGAATACATCTGCGCCATTGTGACCGATTTTCAGCTGTGTCACTAGGTGTCCTCAGTCATTGATTCCTTTCGTCTCGTGGACCCCAACTGCTTATTAACGGCGAGAAATGAATGAGATGTTTGCCCACTAACTAAAGTGTTTCTTCAGTAAATATTTTATTATTGTTATTTAACTTTTTTTAAAATATTATTGTTTAGCCAGACAATTTTTCCCCCACATCTTTTAAATTTGTTTTATGAATTTTCTTTTTTGCAGTAACTGCACGTAAAACTCTTCTAGAAATCAACTTAAAAGAAGTTCCATTAGCTGAAGATGTAGATTTGGACAAGATAGCTGAACAGTTAGAAGGTTACTCCGGTGCAGATATAACCAATGTGTGCAGGTAAGCAAAATAATCTTACTCAGCTAGCTATTGTTTACCAATAGTTTAATCAATGTTCTCGAGTTGTCAGTTGTACGGAGTGACTTTAAAGGTCATCTTAGTAGCTACGTCTGATCGACTTCAGGAGCATAGGTGTTTTTGTATGGATCATGAGACATTTACGGAAAACAATTTTTCCTGTTCAAATAAAGACACCTATGTTTATTTCATTAGTTGATAAGATGACCCTTAGAGTCATTCATTTTAAAGGATCGATTAAAGTGTAGGATCTATTATTATCTGAAAAGTAAAATGATGCTACAAAAGTCATTTGTAAGGCTCAATTTCTTAGAAGACTGACCCCGAACACCTGGACTAATATGAATAATTGTACTGTGTTAAATCATTCCGTCGGAGTCTGGTAATAATAGTATTACTACTAATAATAATTGCTTTATTCCAAACAGGACTTGTAGTACAGCATGTAATTATCAGCATGTAATAGTTCAACAACTTCATTCCTTGTACAATATTTTTAAGCGAAGTAATCATTACATTTGAATAATGACAGTAATAACAGTAGTAAAAGACACAATGTGAAACAGGCACCTGGTATTGCATTGGCATCTGGTTTTGACTGGTGAATGAAAAGAATATCGATGGTAATTTTGGGGGTGGTAGTTCGTTCAACCAGAACCAAAATTGGCAGTTCGGAATAGTTAGTTATCCAAGGAATTGTAATATACAGTATTTCTGTGCATTTATAAGTCAATCTCTTACCGGCGTATCGTTTATTCTTGTTGTTAGCTTAAAAAAGCAGCAGCTTGAAACCATTTAAAAGGTTTGCAAGAGTGGTTCACACGTTTAAACGACGTACTTAAAAGATTCAAAGAAACTGAAACGAAAGAATTTGATGAAGCATATTCGGTGGAAAATTTTCAGCAGCTCAAAGCTTAAGCAGGCCTCCTTAAGAAATTAAAACAGTTCACACTAGATTGTGTTATTCTCTTTGCCATCATTTGACATTTGACCTTACTGATAGCATGCTCATTTTTAAAACTAAAGGTTTTGTGGTATGATTTCAGGGAAAGGTTGTGCAATTACGTGTTCGTGTGTCCTTCAACTAGAGTGTCAGTTGACGATGAAAGCACTTTCTAAAATGTAAATATTTATCGGGAGATTTCATTTTAGACTATGTAATATAGTCGTTTCTTTTAAAAACTCTGTGATTACCAACTCGAGCTTCTGTTTGGTATAAATGTGTAAGTTTGTTGGCAGTCTTTTTGTCTGAGAATCAATTTAGTCACCGATAGCCTTCATCTAATGCTTATACAAATGTCATAAATAAGTAGTGTCGTTTCCCAATATGTAGGTGAAGTTTTCGGTGCCGATTATAGCACATACGATTTCGCTGATTAACACTTTATATCCGTCGACAAAACAAAACATCTTAGATATTAGTTGGTTGGAGGCAATCGGCAGGAAGCCTTGGACCTAGGTTTCGTGCTTTTTGGCACTCGTCAGCAAGGCATATCTGCAGCCTCGACGGAACTGATGTCCCGCAAATATGATCGATAGAATTCGATCTGCACTCAGGACCAGACAACATGAAATTGGTTTCACTCCCGTGACCAATCAATACAAACAAAACATCTGTTAACCCCTCGTCCGTTTTCGTTTCTATTGACCCAATGAGTCATACTACTGGAACTCTTGTCCTCCTAAGGTTCTACTGTCTTAGAAAGGTCTGTTGAATAGTTGTTATACAGAAAGCAGTTGTGGCTATAATGTGAGTCACCACACCATGATGAGGACTGGGTGGCGAAATCGCACTGGTGGTCGCATGGGGTGCGACAGCAATAAGGTGTTTCTCATACTGATACTGCGTTTCCTACAGGAAGGGGGGGTTAGGAAAGGTGGGCCCCAATCTAGCACATTCCCCCTACCCACCAGCATGGGTTTGTGGATAGATTCGAGAAAAAGAAAATTAAATCTCAAACGCCTAAAAAGGCTGTTTTTGACTGGCCTCATGCAGAATTACCGTGAGTTCTGCGATCACGCACCAGCCCTTCTTTTTCAGGTACCTCAAGAAAAAAGTCTTCCACATTGTGGGTAGTCGAGAAGTATCCAACACCTTCAAAATTCTGTCGACATCTAAGTTCCCTCAGATTATTAAAAACCTTCCACATGTTTACCTTCTAACGTTTCCTCGTGTCTCTCGGTCATTATTACCGCGTTATCTTTAATTCTTTCCGGTTCTGCAGCTTTTATTCGAGTTTATGGAACAACATCACTGGTTTTCTGAATCCGCGCTCCAAACCCACACTTTGGAGACTTCAGTTTCCACATTTTAATTCAAATCAACAAACAAGCTTCGCTTACCAAAACTAGTATCTCGGCCGTGGATGTTTACTGTGTTTGTGAGACACACACCGAAGACTTAGGGGTAGTTGTTCATTTAACCTCATCTGACCAATATCTGGAATTCTTAAAACTCAGCCTTCGCGTTCCTGAACATTCGATGGCTAGTTTTTTTCAGTCTTACAGGTGTAGGTAAAGCGTTTAGGCCTAAGGTAGAAAGTGAACTGCTCAACTGAATCCCAGTTGACAGTCGCCTATGCGCAGTTTGACTGAATGGTACAGTGAGAACTAAAAAGAACAGTGAAACTTGCCATTAACTGCAGTTTGGATGAAGTGAAGGATGAATCCTACTGGAAACCGTCTAACCTTCAGATGTAGTTATTTTAGCAGGTGATTTCAATACTCAAGTGGGTAGGCTAACTCAAGCAGAAAGACACTTAGGTGGTACCTCCGAAATCCTAGCCAATCGAATAGAAAACGACGATTACCTGCTACAGCTGAGCTCAGAAAACCATTTGTTTTCCTGTTCACTACGAACTTCAGACATAAAAAGAGACTATCTGACGTGGCATTCACTGAGCTCAACTTAGTGGTGGACACAGACCATATTGCTGTCAGTTATCGTTACAAAGTGTTGGTGGAATACTGTTGCTCATTTTGGAGCATGTTTGGACGGCAACCGCCCGTTGGCTCAAGTACTTGTATGTATATATCTGAATAGAAATTAAAGCAACAAGATTATTGTAAGCACAACTCCACAAGAAAAATACGAAACCTACTTTCAGTGAAGTAGCGAACAAGAACTGCACAACAATACTCATCCTGAAGAAACCTGGCGCTATCTCCAGTCCGCTGTAAAAACAGTGAGGAAGATAGCACCCAATTCTCAGAAAGTGGTTAAAAAAAGCCAAGGGATCCTCTGCAGCCTCTTCCGAATTAATGGGTGAATACGAACGCATCCTTGCATGCTTCGACTGAAGAAAATCTACACTGCAACCGAGAATAGCGGTGGAGAGATGGAAAAGGCAGGGATGATAGATAACAGAGGACAGTTAGATTTATCAAAGAAACTGGGGAGAAAAGGTCAGACTACAGTATTGAGGAATGGATCTGTGTTTCACTCGCATGAGATACGACTGGAATAATGGGTGGAACACTCCGGGGAACAGTTTAGCTGGCCTCCAACTACTGTTGTGTTACACGCAATCCAGTCGAATCTTGAATGGTATATCGAGATATAGCCTAAAACAATCTTGCAAGTCCAGAAAGCTGTAAGCAATCTGTAATGATGACTAACAGCCTGACTAACATAGCGTATAGGGTTTTAAGTTTGTAGTCAATGGATTTTTGGTAGACCTCATGAATAGCAAACGCTACAAAACCAGGGAGGCTTCAGACCTGGCTATGGGTGTATCGACAAGGTATTCATATCTAATTTACAAAGTGGGATATAAGATCATCAAAAAGCATTGTCATACATTTAGTTCCATTGACAAACTTGAACAATGCAAGAACAAAGACATTTGCAGGATGAAATGAGCTCATTTTCTTCCATGGCCTTTCATCAGCTGCAAAAGTCAACAGTTGAAATGAAATATTCGTAGTAATAATAACATACTTTAAACACGCAGAAATAAATGGAGGTTGGAAATCTAGGATTAAAAATAAGGTAGTAAGTCAAGGAAACACAGAATTAATAGTTACAACTCTTAGTCAAAATCAATGGCAGTCTATATCTGATAAGATAGAAAATTCTGGGGCTATCGAGTGGGGGGGGGGCACAACAAACGAAAATGATTGTAAAAGAAGGGACTGTTTAAGAGCCAATAGGTTACGTAATAACATTAAAAACTTGAAAGTCGTTAAGTGATTAGTAGTCAGTAAGTAATTACTGAGATGATGCAGTCAAGAGAAAAGAGAAGAATATATACATGCAGATGCAAACATTATATACAGCTACAAAGGTAAAGAAAGGTTAACTACAGTCTCCATCTAAGTTCATAAGTCAGGTTGAAAATATTTGATAGTGAGACGTTCCCCAAACCATAATAAGCATAGTGTTCTCTGTCTTTTTGATGATTCTGAAGGATTTAGAAACATCTGTTTGATGTCCTGTTTCCATCAGATACCTCGCGATTTCGTCTTTAAAGACCTTGCTACCATTCAGACACAGATTTCTCAGAGTACGCTAACAAAACATTGTATTTATTTTTGCCTATTGACAAATTGAAACATTTTCCTGATAGTTTAATCATATTTTTTAAGAATCATCTTGGTAGCTTTTAGTTTGGTTTATAGCTTTTTGTTAAGCATTTTAAACGATATCCTTTGATACACAATGGAATATTTTTGTTATCATACGAAGTGTCTTATATTAACTTCCTGTAGCAGATGTATTGTATTTTCTAATTTTAGGGATGCTTCAATGATGTCTATGAGACGGGCTATAGAAGGACTTTCAGTGGAACAAATTAAAGGTCTTAACACAGCTACACTTAATCAACCAACACGTATGACTGATTTTGAAGAAGCAATTAGTCGTGTATGCAGATCTGTTTCAGCTAGCGATGTTGAACGGTATGAAAAATGGATGACAGAGTTTGGAGCAACATGAATCATCTATGGATATTTCATTGACTTGTTCATGATTTGCCCTAAAAGTATTTTTGTTGGTCTTTTCATATTAAGATCTTCTTGTCAGATCTTCAGATTGTACGTATTATTTATTGCCTTTCTTATGTTTAAAATAACTTTTTGAATAACTATCAAACTGAATAGAGAAATATTTATCTTCAATAGTTGGGTCTTTCTAGGCATTTGACCTAATACTGTTGATATCTTTACTTTTGCTTCTACATGTCTGTAAAACACTTTATTCCTTAAGGAGGTCGAGAATAAATTATTTCACTGACTAATTTATGTCATTAACCTGTTTGGTATACTTTCGCTACTAAATTGTAATCAGTAATAAGTTGCTCAATGATTCGGTTATTCGCCTTCTATTTAGAGAAAGCGAAATTAAAGTAATTCACTTAAATTATGCTAGAACGTTTCAGCTGTATACTTTAAATAGGCAGACTAATTCATCCTATCATCAGCGTGCTGTGATCCTAAATAGTTAACAGCACACAGTGCCTAATACAACCTGACCGATAGCTATTACCTTGATGTGGTAGTCGGGCTTGTGTATCACAATGATCCGGCGGGCTGAACTGACTGTAACACTACTTCCTTCGAGGCATTACCATACCAGAGAGGTCTGTTGGATAGTGGTAAGACAGAAAGCCGTTACCGTTATAATGTTAATTACTACGCTATGGTGGGGGTCCAAAGGCGACGTCATACTGCTGGCTGATTGGAGTGACAGCAGTTAGGTGTCTTCCGTGGATGACCAGCTGTATTATACCGATGCTGCCTTCCTGGTAGGAAGGTGGAGCTAGAAAACGTTGGCCCATAAAACCATACTGTTGAGGGTCTTCGGGTACCTGTGGTATGAGTTTGTTCTATCCGGCGTCAGAACAATCAAATACTATATCAACAATCCTCGAAAGACTATATGTAATGGGCGCCAAGCAGACTTCCTATGGGCTTTACAGCTACACAAACCTCTCTCTTCTCTTTCAGATACTCAATACAAACAACTTCCACGGTATGGACAGCCCAGATGTCAGACAAAAGCACCACCCCAGTAGTATACAAGGCTCAATCAAATATAACCTGTTTTCCTCAACTGTCTGCTCCTTCACCTTCATCTTGTGATACCAATATCAAGCTTCTTACAACTTCCCTAACCTCTCACTCTGCAACCATTTCTCACGGTCCAAGTCATTGAAACACCATCTCTAGTCTTCTAAGGTCCCACTGTCGGTTTCATATTGGACCCTTCAACGCCCTAACCCTATGTCATACTGGACAGCTGGCATCGCTAACTCTAGTGTCGATCCATGGGTGTGTGTTGTTTCTGACACAAGAATACAGGAACCGAGTGGGTTTATTAACTTGACCTCACCTAACCGATCCAATGAATCTTCAAAATTCACCTTATGAGTATTCGGAGACTCAGTGATTGATTAGCTTTCGTGAACTCGTTGGCGTAAGCATATCGTTGTTGTAGAGCGGAAAGTCCACTCTTTGACTGGACACCAGTTAACAGCCGTCTATGTACTGTTCGAATGAATGGATTTGTGAGAAGTAGGAAGGGTCATGAGATCAATCGATAGCTTTTTGTAATCTTCGCACCCACCAAATGCAGTAGGGATGCTGCAAATGATCAATTCTATCATAAGATGTCGATTTCGCTACAGAAGTCAAACCGTTTGGATATAGTTATAATGGCAGGTGACTTCAACGCTGAAATATGGAAGCCGAGCCAACAGGAAAGGCATTTCAAAGGTATCTCTGGCAGCCCATGCTAACGAACGGACAAGGGTGATCGTCTGTTGCAATTTTGTTCCGAGAATCAGCTGTTTCTGGCCGGCAATAACTTTAAAAATGAGAATAGGCACTGTCTCATGGCATCTGTGGATATCAGGCCAACAATTCGTACAGGTAGGTCAAATCGCCATAAGCTATCGTCAGATAGGCTCGGTGGAGGGTTGCTGCTCTATCTGAAGTACTTCTGTGGCCCTCGATCTCGCTCTAGTACGAGAAGATGACTGTCAGCATCTCGGGCGCCAGAAACATGTGGCAGCACAACTTGTCTGTGCTCGACTAGTAGATGCTAATGTGAAGTATACATTCAGGAATGAGATAGTTAAGCATTTATCTATACGTCACAGCATTCGTCATTCTGAGGAAACCCGACTTGACATAAGATTGGTTGCAGAAATAGAGGCCAAAACAGTTGGTGCATATTATCCAAAGGTGAGGAACCATCAGTGGATGTCTGCAACCTCGAACGAACTAACTGACTGATTCGACATGACTTATTCCGGCTTGCTGTGACCACCATGAAGAGTGGAAGTGATTTAAGCCTGTACTGAGCGGGAATCTTCACATTGGTCGTGAGCAATGATGGGTCACGAATGCGAGAGAGATGGAGAAGGCATCACGGCTGAAAAGCACTTGCCTACTGTTTGGTATTATCAAGGATAACAACAAGAAGACAATGGGGAGAGGAACTAGCACTGGAAAGGATGGGACGCTGATAACCTCCCGGGACAGGCGGCTAGGAAGTTGAGCAGAATACTTTGGAGCATATTTCAGCTGACCCTCAGTAAAGCTTAAGTTGCCCAACATCCAACGTGAATGGGACTTAGATGTCAGTCCTCTAACTTTCTTTGAACTCCAGAAAGCTGCACCCAACAATAAACGATGCAAAGCAGTAGGACTTGTCAGTTTACCACCTGAACTTTTCAAGGATGTAGGTGGGGAATTGCTACCTAAGGCGACGGAGATGCCAAGTAGTATATGGGAATCAGGGTTAGGTCTATCAGACTGGTGTACTTCTATGATCATCCCAGTTTATAAGAAGGGAGAGAAGTTTTCTTGTGACAACCACAGAGGGATTTTTTTTTGACTAATATTGTGTTCAAGATCCTAGGGTCTATAGTTATGCGACACTGAACTGGAGCTCTAGAACAGCAAACTCGTGAAAACCAGCAGGTTTCAGATCTGGTCGAGGGTGCATCGATCGAGTTTTCACTTCCTGATAGGTTCTGGATCACAGGCATACCTACAGGCTAGTGGACTACACTTTACCTGAAGGCGGCATTTGACTCTGTTGCCCGTCAGGTGCTGTGTCTGTGCCATGCAAACATATAGTCCTCCCCAAAACTCTTTACTCCAACTCATGTAGCTGTGTAAGTGCTTATTAATTGTGGTCATCAGAATCGACGACAACTAGTGGTGTCTGGCAGGGGTCCCTGCCGTCACCCTTCCTGTTTAGTTTCGTTGTAGAAATCTGAGTAGACATAAAGTTAGGTGCTTTTGACTTCTCAGGGACTGAACTACTTTCTGGATGTCATCTGGTTGACTAGAAGTAGGCAGACGGCACTGTCCTGTTAAAGAAAGACACTGACAAAATGCAGGGTCTTCTGAACGCGTAAAAGAGAAGTCTGAGTACGTTTGGCATGCTTGTCGCATGTGTCAAATGTAGGATAATGCCTCAAGATTGGTCTGCAACTGCTCCTATTTTATGAGCAGGGAGTGAAGTAGTGGATTGGGTTGAACACTGTACATAATTAATAAGTTGCATCAACTCGAACAGGCTGACTACTGATGAAATTTCAGCTTGGATGCTAAAAGTCCATTTGGTATTTGCCAACTGGTTTCATCTCTCACACCTAATGGCGAGGTATCCGAATAACAATTAAAAGTCAGGCAAACTGTGGAACAGTTCATTCTCTCCTGATATACGGCTATGAAACATGACAGTTAAAAGTAGAAGAAACGGAGAGGTTATAAGGTTTTGATCACAGGTGTCGTATTTCGCGTACGGTGGGATTACCATGTAAGCAATGTTGAGGTCAAGCTAAGGTTACTAGGCAAGGAAACCACGTCGATTGGCGAGGTTGTGAAGCCTTGTCAAATGAGGCGAGTTACAAATGTGCCTGCTCATCTACCACCTATCTCGATGTGCCATACCAAGGCGAAGTTAGATTGGTTTGAAAGAAGACTTGCAGCGGCCAAACTAAGATGTGCATGTAATACCTGACTGTCGGTCTAAGCTTTGCAGGGAGGTGTAGACTGTTTGACTGAGGCCGCAAGACGATGGGAATACGTATTTGAAGACTCTTGGTGAAATAGCTGAAAATAGGTCACAATGATGTAGATGTATTCACTTTGTGATGCCTTCTAAAGCTTGAATGTTTGCATAGGTGGCTTTAAATCGAAATAACCAATTGGGTCTCTCCATCTTGGTCGGAAAGGTAGATTTTCATAAAACAGGGAAATCTAATTGGTTATTTCAGCTGTTGCTAGGATGACCTTTAAAGCTACTCTATTTGGACCAACCGTAGTTTTTAAATTCCTCCACCTCCCACACACATTTGTATAATTTGATATTACTCTTTATCCATCCGCTTATTCTTTTTATACGAAGTGACTGCAGTGTATGGTAATAAATATACGAAACGATAATAAGGCACTGCAATACTTGGACTGGCTATGAAACGTGACTCTTCTCCAACAGACCTGATACTGAGATGCGGAAATCAGAAGACAAAGGTCTGCTTGTTACCGTGAAGAAGACAAAGTTCTGCTTGTTACCGTGAAGAAGACAAATTTATTTGACAAGAAACATTATTTGCATATAGTTTTTCCTCAGAAAATGAAACCACTAGGTCACAAGTTGGATATTTATTTTCATTGGTCGACTGAAGGACAAAGTTGTTCAATAAGCTTTTTCTGCCTCACAAAACCGAGGTTGCAATCCAAAACTTCTACCTTGATGGCTGATAACCTCAAATGCTGGTTTTGATTTAGGCTGATTCCTATCACTATATCACTGTGAAGCATGGCAACCTGAACCGATGCTTTTGTGTACGAGAGTCTACTTTGATTTTTTCTGTTTGTTTGTTCAATATAACTGGACTCAACAAGTTTTAGCCCCTATTGTTGTAGGACATGATTAATACACTAGTGGAATTTGGGAAGAATATATGTGAATTATGTTATCAGTGACCAATCCATGCGTCACTATCAACATCAATATACTCAATAATATCTGATCCTATGTTGATATCGATTATAATAAATAGATTGGTTAGTAAATGGAAGACGTATTCCATAGTATATTGAACAATTTCAACTGTGCTAGGTAATTATAACAATTGTTAGGCATCAGTCACAGTAAGACTTATTGGTTCTGTGTTTAATCATAGAAACTAAGCATACTTTAAGTAGGTCTGACGGTTAGGTGAATTAACCATTTTGTGCTCGTTGACTGCCTCGTCTGATGTCAATCGGTGAATAA